AATGCCAAACATGGTAGGTGAGAGTCATATTAAAATATCTAGAAACTAAGTGTCTAGTTTGATTTAGACATGTTGACTTTCCCTGTAGTCTATTGAGAGGGACAAGTACCTCCTAGGGACATCTCACATGTCTGAGACAAGTAGCATAGTTGTCCTGTGGAGCTGACCCTCTCTGTATTGACAACACAAAGAGCAAGGGTGGCTGAAATTAAGCAAGAGGAATCACTCCTCTGCCTAAGCCTGCAGCATATAAAATGTTCCATCTTATCATCCAATCATCTGTTTTATTGTCCTGTGTTTAAGAGCTGAAGGCATCCCAGCATAGTAGATATCATTTATTCTGTTTTCGATGTGAAGATGCATCTCCAGCCCAGGGAGAAGGAATGTGGAGGAGATGGACGTGGGGACTCGAGTTTCCTGTGCTAACTAATAAAGGGATAGCAGCAACACCTACATAAGGAGAAGACAAACTAGCTGGAAGTGCAATCTGAGACAGACGGAGGAGGATGCTTCCCATCCACAGAGGCTGGGTGTGTTCCATTCCCTCTTCCTGGCTATGCATGTACAAGCAAGTTGTTAATGAGGCAAGGAGTGTAGGAGAAGTGGGGAGTTACAGGGATAATTTCAGTTTGCTCATTTTTCTTTAGTTCCTTTTCGACTAAACGAGTACATCAAATCTGTGTGAATCTGCTTGAAACTCAGGAAGTCGCAGAAAGGAGACAGAGTTTGATTTAAAGTGTGTGTTTTATCATTGAGGAAAGCAAGGAAATCTGCAAGGCCATGGTATAACACAGCCTGTTATTTTCCTGTGTCTCCCTCACATCATTTCATTCTCTGTCCAAAGGGTATGCATGAAAATGAGGCAACTGGGAAAAAAATACGAGACAGAGAACAAAGCTCAGATAGCTTATGAAATGGTTTAACAAGAGCACATATATTAAATGGGTTCTTTTTATTCAAGAAATCGAACATCAAAGCTTATTCCACGTAATAAAAGAACATTTTAGATAGTGTGTTCATTGTTCATGTCTC